TCTCTGCTGCGCGCCGGGGGCACCGGGACGGGACCTTCAGCCTGGTGACCATCTACAGATTCACTCCCACGGAGCGGGATCTGGGGGCGCTGTTCTCCTGCCGGGCACGGCACCCCCTGCTGAACCAGTCTCGCCAGGCCGACTTCTGGATCTCCTTCAGGGGTGAGGCTGCCAGATCGCCCTGGCCTGGGTGCCCCTCGCTGCGGTATCAGCCCCACCATGACCCACCCCGGCCAGCCAGCAGCGCGGCCTTGTTCCCCTCCGTCATTCTCAGGGGGTCGGTTCTCCGGGCTCACAGCCCAGGCGCTGCTGGGGGACGGGTCCTGGGCTGCAGCTGGGAATCCCTGGTCCCATTACCCCTCGTCCTGCCCGCTCCGTCCCCAAGGAACGATCCTGGGCTGGGCCGGTACGTCCCCAGCCTGGAGCGACTCAGCCCCTGCCTTCTCCCCCGTACCTCGGCCCTCGGTCGGGCCCAGCGCTGGTCCCCGAACTCCAGCCTCCCTCGTTCCAGGGCCGTACGTAGCCCGGGGGTGGCTCCCACTGGGGCAGGCAGGTCCCTGGGGAGTCCGAGGGTGTGTCCGTGCGATACCCCAGGAGCTGGGGTCGGGGGCAGGAGAACTGGGAGTCGGTGGGCACTGGGGTCCCTGGGGGATTGGCAGTCGCTGGGCTTGGTGGGGTCCCAGGGGGAGCAGGGAGCGCAGCGACCGGGAGGTCTCTCTGATCTGTGTGTCCCCAACAGCTGGCGGCCTGGAGATGGGGTTCAGGGTCCTGCTGTGGGTGCTGCGAGCGTCACTGCTGCTGGCCATGGCCATGGGGGGCTGGCTGTACTGCGACACCGGCAGCCGGCCGAGGAAGGTGAGGGCTGAGTTTGCCCAGCGAGTGCCCAGCATTGGCCCCAGCATCGCTCCCCCGGCTAACACGGATCCCTCTGGCCCTGTCTGCGCTGGGTCTGACACGTCTTCCCTCACCCCTCGTTCCCAGGGACGGCCCAGAGCCCCTTTCGCTCCGTGCAGCCTCGTCCCGGCCGGGCGCTTGTGGGGCCAGACGCTCCAGAGCGGGGCGAAGAGCCGGGACGATTCGGGTGTCCTGAGAGACATTCCCGGGAAGGCACAGGAAAAACGGGGCCTGCCCCAGTGACAGGGGTGTGTGTGTGTCACCCTCACACCCGGGGAGAAGCGACCCCCAGGGGGTTGTTCCTAGCACCTTGTCCAGGGAGACGCCCTGTGCTGGCGTCAGCACCTGTAACCAGCCCTAGACAGCCGAGGGGCCTGGCCTCTGTGGAGACGGGGCCCTGAGCTGTGACCCACGTCTCTCCCTCTGGGCACTAACTCTCCTCTCCTGCCATGACCGGCGCACAGATGGTGGAGCAGATGATGGAGCAGGCGACGGAGCGGATCTGGGACCCCCTGCGTCAGAGGTTCCAGCAGGCTCGGGAGGCGATCTCCTCATGGAGCAGATAGGAGGAGCCCACCGCTGCCTGCAGCACCCTGGCTCTCCGTCCCCGCAGCGCTGTCCGTGCCTCCCGTGCCCCCCTTGTCCTGTGGTATCCGGCGCTCCAGCTGTGACGTTGTGCAGTCTATATGGTTTTATAAAAATATGCTAATGAGTGAATATAATGTAACTGGGATATGCTTCATGCAAAAGGTCTCTTGTAAAGTATCATTACAAAGCTTATAATCTACTGAGTATGATCATCCTATTTGTATAAATGTACCACTCTTGTATCTGAAACTAGGAATATGAAATATAACTCTGAGGGCCTATTGCAAAGTGTGGGCCATTAATGGTGGTTTGGAATCTTAATGG